TAATTAAAAAAGCTGCCACAATTGCGTATCGGTGGAAAGTAATTTGTTGCCAAACTACTAATAGCTATATTCTGAAAATTTCAAACTTTGAGGGCACATTGAAACTCGCAAAGTGAAAAATAAGGTAATAATAATAATAATAACTCATGTATAACATAGAGAGGAGATGCAGAGCGAGAGCTTCTCTCACCCTGTAGAGCGAGCAGCATGAAATATAACGTCGTATTAAAGGGATTGTAAATCTGGGCTCGAATCCGGAATCTCATCTGTATCGCGCAGAGCGACCTACCGTGGTCCACGATCACACTTGGTGATTGCTATTGCCTTTTAGCCTGCCGATATATCCCACCTCATGATCAGGGCCCGGACTGGGCATATGTGCGCCCTAGGCAAAATTTTTCTTGCGCCCCTAACCTTCCCTCATGAGAAAAATTCCGTTAAAAACCTGCTATTATATATTATGCATTTCAGGAGCACTTTGCATATGCATTGTCCAAAAATTAATGAGCTTAACAATTATTTTATTGCTAAAACTTATATTCGTACTGAAAGTGCAAATGATAAATCTCGCGGAAATTTAAATTTGTATGTAGATAAATGGTGTAACATTTGAAAGAACCAAGAGATGAAACCAAGCATTAACAGAATTTCACTCACAATGTGATGGTTTGAAGTGTAACACACCGATTTTGTAGAAATTTTGTAATTCTACAGTTTAAGTCAATACAACCAACTAGCTGAACTAATGGAACTAGCCATATTCTTCAGAGTTGGATATTGAGGTAAAGAGATTTACTCGGGAAGGACATGACCAAATTAGGAAGAAGAAATATGGATAAATATGAATAATCGATAAGGAGTTAGAGCTTTGTCGAGGTTGAAGGTTTAATTCAAACTAAAATTTCAAAGTTTAATATTAATAAAAGTTTCTGAATTGTTTAAAAACATAATTTTCTCTAAAAATAAAAATTTTAAAAATACGAAAAATCAGCAGTGGGGTGCTAGAGGTGAGCCAAATGCTCAGTTGAACCGAGTATGCTCGTGCTCCCCAAGGTTTAACTTAGCGGAGCGGGCCCAGCTTTTTCGAGCATTTTGCGAGCCAAGCTTGAGCGAGCCGATTTCTATCGAGCTTTTTGCGAACCGAGTTTGAGCGAGCCGAGCTTTTAAAAACCGCTGCTCGACTCACCCCTAGTTTGAACACACTTGAGTTTCAAATTCTTGTTTTGAACGTTGGAATTGGTGCAGTTTTTTTATTTCTTGTAGGGTTAACAAAACCGAGGGTTTTAATAAAAAAAAGAACAGCCTAGGAGCTTTCCCGTATAAAAATTTTAAAGGATTTTATGCAGCAATTTGGCTGAATTTTATGCACACAAATTTATGCAGCGTGATTTGTGCATAAACTGTGCAGGATTATGCATAATTATGCTAAGGTTTTTCTATACACAAGAGATAATTCTAGTCATAAGCTTTGTATAAAGAAAAGTCTCTTCATAAAAATATCAGTTTATAAACTTTTATGCAGAATATACTCTCCAGAAATTTATGCAGAATTATTCACAATTTTTTATGCATTAATCATTATGCCGACTAAGTGTGCCGTATTATGCAGAAGTCGCCACATGATTTTTATACGGGTTAAGTAATTGGTTCTAATGTTTTTTTGGGGTTTCATTGGGCTTTAAAGGAACAAAATACTCAGGATTAGTCCTCACATGAAATACCACATTTTAGAAAGAGAATTTGATTTTTGGCACATGTGCTCCTGAAAGAGATTCATTTTCGTATCACACTTAAACACAAAAGAATTGACAAAAAAACGTATTTTTTTGAGAAAACCGACGTCTGGGGCTTTCGTGTGCATGGAAAATGGAAAACGTTAATACCAGGCTCTAATACGAAATTTTGAAAAACGTTCAAACGTTCAAAAAACAGCTTGTAGGGACACAAATTAGAAAACTCTTGGCGAAAACGCTTTTCAAAAGTATTGACTTTGAGCTAAAAATCGTAGATTTCTCTAGATTTCAGCTCTCACTCCGTGAAGGAGCACAATAGAAACGGCGGACTACCACCGCTGTATTCAGAAATTTGTTAGGTTTGAAGTTATTCCGGTCTTCGTTCTTGTTACTAATGATACCAATTATATTTTCGTCGCGCAAAAAATAAGCATACCAGTATTATGCAGGCTGCATTATTCTTGTATCGGAATTCGCAAATACATATGTATGAGCACAAGTCGCGGATCTTATCTGTATCCAGCTAAGAGCTCGGTTCCTTCTCAAATTTTAGTCTGAATTAAGAATTTGAGTATACATGTTCCTTCAGAAACTTTAGGAGTTAACAGTAGTCTGTGTAATAATGTCAGAAACTGATCAAAAATCTTAAAATTTAAATTTCGTGACAGTTTACTTTTTAATCAATCAGGTATATATGTCTTTCATTTACAGCGACCGAGCCTGTCCATATGTTTGCTGTTGCATGGCTTGATCGCGACGGCGCCCATCCGATGCAATTTTTCATCGAACACATAAATATTTCGAATGCCTTCTTTGCCAGCATTTTTGCAAGGGGAATTTAGATCAAGAAAGGTTTCCGGACAAATGCAGATTATTTTACTATCCATGCTAAAATTGTAAAGATTACACTAACAAGGGGGCGCTTATGTACTTAGTGGGGGCAGGCTAAGTGTTAATAGCTAATAACTTTAAAACCTCTGGAGATAATGAAAATCTGATAAGCGCATTGAATTCCTCGGGCGATTTTACATAAATACCTCACATGAGTTTTTAACAACTTGCAAAGAATACTAGCAGGGAAAATACTGAAAGGAAGCGGGTGGCAATAATTTTCCACTAAAAAATGAAAAAAGAAATAGCGAATTTGAGAAGTGTGACAGGAACCGAATGTGCACTTTAATTTAATCCAGCGGATTGTAAAAACGTTCATGGGGACCGGTTCCACCGAGAACAGTCGAAGAAATTTTTTGGAAAACCTACAAGGACCATACCCATCGTGAAGGCGTTGAAGGACAGAATCCGAAGAAATTCTCGAAATTCCAACGGAAAATAGCCTCACAGCTGACATTGTTGATGCAGATTACCCAATGAGTACTCAAACTGAACCTTAGGCGTAAGGCTTTGAAATGTGGTACTTGACACCTCTTGATGGTACCCACAAGGAAAGCCCTACTAAAGAAATGAAGGGCTCTCCTCAGGCGATACGCGCCAAAAAGGTTAAGAGGATTCTATTTACAGATGAGGAGATTTCAACTGTGAGGAAATATTTTAACAAAAAAAATACACTGTCTACCCAGAATCTGTCCAAGATATCCCCCAATAAAGAAGAAGGTCAAAAGTTCACATGATCCAGGTTTTGTGAAGGTTTTGGCTGTTGCAAGCTGATTGGGGGTAATTTCTCATCATTTCGTCACAGATGGAGGGAAGGTGATGGAATCCAATTTTTTAAAATACGTTTTTGAGTCCGTGGTACATCCCCTCAATGGGATCCAGTTCAATAGAATCGATTAGACCTTTCCACAGGCCTCAGCACCAGCTCATAGTGCGAAAAATTGCAAAAGCGTGACTAAAAAACAAATTGCGGACTTTATCTCTACTTCGGACTGGTCATCCTCCTCGCTGGATTTGAATCCTCGGATTATGAAAAACGGTCAAAGTTAGGGGCAAAGGTGTGTTCTAAGGTTCATAGAAGTTTGGAGGCTTTAAAAAAATCTTTGACCACGGAATGAGACAATTTGTCCACGGATTCAGTGCGTAGTTTCGTCGAGAGCTGGCGGCCGCCTTCTCAGCGCTGAGTTAATGCCGGGAGAAGAAATTTCGAAAACTAAAAATTGTGTTCTACTCAGAAATTAGCTGGCTTTCCAATAAAATTAACTAGAAATTTGTATCACAAAAACTGTTGAAGCTATGGCGTTTGATTCTACTAACACTTAGCCTGCCCCCACTAAGTATATATGTAAAGTAAGGCATTAAAAAATTGAAATATGTTGCTAATCCGATTTCGATTATTTCGATTTTTTAAATTTTAAAATAACCAGGTTTCCATTTTGTGTAAAACCGTTGAGTTCGTGCATAAAATCAATAAGGGTCAAAGGCCAAAGTTCAAAAATGTGTGTGGTACAGTTAGTGTGGTTGATTTTGAGGGGAATGTTTTATTGTCAGCTTCAGTAAAACACGACCCTGGAACATTTGCAGTGAATAGATACACACTTGATACCAATGGAATAAAGTTCGACGACCTAAGATCAGGGGAAGATTTTGAGATCGTGAGAGATAAAGTTGTTGAATTGTGTAAAAATAATTTAGTCGTTACTTGTGGTGGTGAGAAGGACTTTGATTCCCTTCGGCTAGATATAGGAGATTATGAACATTTGGAGCTCCAAAGGCAATATTTTGGCGTCGCCAAGGATGGACAAATTCAGCCTCACAGTCTTAGATCTATGTTCAATTATTTTTGTGAATACAATTTTCAAATTGGGACGCATAGTGCAACTAGTGACGCCTCCGCAACTATGCAAATATTTCGAGATGGATATCTGAAGGAAATCATTGACAAAAACCAATTGTTAAAGTACACTGACGAAGTGAATAACGAAATAATACGCCTTTAAAAATTCAAAATAATTCAGTTCAGATGGATAATTTAGTCAAATAACAATAATCAAATAATATCAATCAATATTTATTAAAAATTCAGGTAATTTAATGTACAGTAAATTAACAGGTGAGCAATATAAATACATACATACGTACATATAATTTTGATATGGTGGAATTATTAATTAATGCAGCATTATCTGAAATCAATGATTCTAGCCCTCCTTGGTGGAAATGAACGCTCCCACAATCAACTTCTGTGTCTCATCATTCCAGAAGTTATTAAATTTACGGATTAATTATTTGGGAGTTTTTTTGGGAATCAAGTAAAACCTGAAGTGACACCCTGCTCCTGTGCAAGTTGGAAAAGTGTAACGTTTCCTGAAACAAATTGCCAAAGTGACGGACGCGAACTACTTTACGACGACCAAGAAGGGGGAGATTTTCGAGCTCAAGTCGGAGCTAAATAGTGATAAAAAGGAGAAGAAACGGGAAGCAGTTAAAAAGGTGAGTTAGTTTGTGGTTGGTTTATTGGGGAGTGGTAATAATTACTGTTCAATTTGATAGATAAGTGATTATTGTTTGTTTTTGCTTTACAGGTAATTGCATCCATGATGGTTGGAAAAGATGTTTCTGCCGTTTCCCGATGTCGTCAACTGTATGCAAAGAGATAACCTCGAGTTGAAGAAATTGGTGTACTTGTATCTCATGAATTACGCCAAGAGTCAACCAGACATGGCAATTATGGCTGTCAACACGTTTGTCAAGGTAAGGTTTAAAAGTTAAGTAGTAAATTATATATTAACTAATTGACTATTGTAATGGTAGGATTGTGAAGATCCAAATCCTTTAATTCGAGCTCTGGCTGTTAGAACCATGGGTTGCATTCGGGTGGATAAAATTACCGAGTATTTGTGTGAACCATTGAGAAAATGTTTGAAAGATGAGGATCCCAACGTTCGCAAGACAGCTGCCGTCTGCGTCGCCAAGTTGTATGAAATCAATGCCCAACTTGTGGAGGATCAAGGCTTTTTAGAACAGCTCAAAGATTTGCTTAGCGATTCGAATCCAATGGTAAAAGTGACTTTGCATTATATAGTATGTATTTGTGCTAGTAAAATTGATAGCAATGTTAATTATTATATAATCTTCAGGTGGTCGCAAATGCAGTTGCAGAATTATCTGAAATTAATGATTCTAGCCCCTCCGGGGTTCCACTGGTGGAAATGAACGCTCCCACAATCAACAAGCTCCTCACCGCCTTGAACGAGTGCACGGAATGGGGTCAAATTTTCATTTTGGACTCGTTGTCAAACTACAATTCAAAGGATGAGCGAGAAGCACAGAGGTGGGGTTTTATAATGTTTATTAGATTATACAGGCACATTAATTATTTAACTTATTCTAACGACTTGTTTTTGATTCTTGTTTTAATAGCATCTGTGAACGAATAACTCCACGACTGGCTCATGCGAATGCTGCGGTGGTGTTGTCTGCAGTTAAAGTGCTAATGAAGTACATGGAAATGATCAACGACACCGAGTTTGTGACCGTTCTTACCAGGAAACTTGCACCACCTTTGGTTACATTGCTGTCTTCAGAACCAGAGGTATGTGTTTTGGGCTACTTGTGAAAGAATTGTGTTGTATTACATACAAAGGCAACATATTAAATTATTCATTTCGAATTATTTTTAGGTGCAATATGTGGGTCTGAGAAACATCAATTTGATTGTGCAAAAGCGACCCGACATCTTGAAACATGAAATGAAAGTGTTCTTTGTCAAGTACAATGATCCCATCTAAGTAAAATTGGAAAAACTCATCATGATCCGGCTCGCATCTCAAGCAAACACTGCACAAGTTTTATCCGAATTGAAGGAATATTCGACCGAGGTGGACGTCGATTTTGTGAGGAAGGCAGTCCGAGCAATTGGACGCTGTGCTATAAAAGTAGGACAATCTGCTGAGCGATGCGTTGCGACATTACTGGATTTGATTCAAACAAAAGTAACTAATAAAATATGCAACTTTAATCTGTTTCATATTAAGTACCAAAACCTAATTAACTCAACTTTTGTTTTGTGTGTCTTATAGGTGAACTATGTGGTTCAAGAAGCTATTGCGGTGCTCAAGAACATATTTCGAAAATATCCCAATAAATATGAAAGCATCATCTCGACCTTATGCGAAAATCTCGACACTTTGGACGAACCCGAAGCTAGGTTGGTTGAAAATAGTTTTAATTCTATTCATAAAGTACAAGTACAAGTTACACATATAACTATTTTTTAAATACTTTGTATAGGGCTTCGATGATTTGGATTATTGGAGAGTATGCCGAAAGAATTGACAATGCTGACGAATTGTTGGAAAGTTTTCTTGAAGGATTTGCTGATGAAAACAGTCAAGTTCAACTTCAACTATTGACTGCAATTGTGAATTTGTTTCTCAAGCGTCCAGCAGACACGCAAGAGTTAGTGCAGCAAGTCCTATCTTTGGCAACACAGGTACGTAAATCTCAACTTTTATTAATTAATTGCATTATTTCGTATTGTCTAACAATACTATAAACAATTCTATAAACAAGATATATTAATAATTTTTAGGTGGCAGTCAAGAACAATGTCGACGTACTTTACTACGCGTCCTTAGTTCCCATGCACGTGTACTTTGTCGAAGATGGTCAAATGGATAAGAGAGCCTTTTTGCAAACATGGAAATACATTCCAACCCAAAACGAAGTCCAGTACACGTTGACAAATATGTCTCATAGTTCTGGTAAAAAATAAAATCTTGAGCTCATTACTTAATCTTATAAATGCGTGGATCTCTAATTTTAAAATCTCTTTTTTAGATTCTGTCGTTCAAAAGATGCAGCAAAACAACGTCTTCACAATAGCAAAGAGAAACGTGGAAGGCCAAGACATGTTTTACCAATCATTGAAACTCACTAATGGACTTTGGGTGCTTGTGGAAATTAAAATCCCACCCGGTGGAAGTGTCTACACTGTAAAGAATTGCTAACTATTTGCATAAATATTTATTTATTTCCGTAATAATTGTAACATTCATGTCATGAAATTGATCCTTTGCAGCTAAGCATTAAATCCGTCACCGTTGACGTGGCAGCCGGTGTCTACCAAGCTTACGAGAACATTCTCCGGTCATAATTCCGACCTGTGCCGACAACGTTCCCATCATGAATTTACTAGATTATTAGTTTAACCTAGATTTAAATATATATCTAAATAATTGTATCATTATTTTGAACTGAACCACACAGATCATGTTTCCTTTTCACAGACATTTATTATTACTCAATTTTTGCTGTATAATTAAATTGAAATTATTTATTGTCATTTATATTGTATAGATTGTTAAAAATTATAAATTACTTAATCTAGTACTTAACCAGTTACCTTAATTTAAATTACTTACACTAACTTAACCTAACTAAACTACTGATGCCTGAGTTGACGCCGAGTTTGGTTGAAACTCTTTGCCATAATATAACTTAATTGATTCTTGTGCTTAATAATTTGATATATTTTAGCCCTAATAAATAATTCTATCATTATTTTTCTGTGCAAACGACACTGAACAATTTCGTCAGCCCAACTTTTGATATAAAGGTCTCTTCGCAGCCAAATTACAATATTTTTCATAATACTCTCCCCTTCTGGATTCATATAACTTTTCAAAGCTTCACGAAACCTTTCGTTAATTTTAATGAAAACTAATTTAGTGTTCTCGTTAACTAGATGACTATAAGATATTGTATTTTTAGTACCATTAGAGAAATCCCCAAATAAAGACTTATTTTTAATTAACTGCTCAGTCACGTCTAGTTCCTGTACTTGTCGGTCCGATAAACTTTCCAGTAAATCCTTACAATTAAGGCACTGTTGACTGTGTTTTAGTTTCATAGATTTTCTAATGACGCTTTTCACACACCAATTTGCCATATACACCGTCACATTGTCATCTTTAATGTCAATATCGTGAGACTCAATTAACTCGAAAAAATCAATATTCTCGCAACTAGTAATGTTTATATCATTTTCATATTCGTCCTCTGAGCTTTCAAACTCATCGTCACTGTCCGAAATTGGTGGCTGTAGGTATACTTGGCGGAGTCACACCAATTCGTCCTAAATCTAATAATTTACGAAGCTTAAAGCTGTTTTTAATTAATAAATCAGTCAAATCAGTTAAATCAGTCAAAATTTCACCTGTCTCACAATTTGCACCAGTTGGACTAGCTAACAGGTCACAAATTAATAAGTATTTAAAGCTTTCTGAAAATTGTTTAGCTGTTGGATTTTTACAGAACCCATTTCGCCCTCTCTGCTTTGCAAAATAGTGCACTATTTATTCGAGAATATCTTGCTGAATTCTCCGAGTAAAAACATAACCATATCCGTCAGTTTCTAAGTCGGTCAGTAACAATTCAACAGAATGTAAGGTCAGTTGCAAAGCTCTCACACTGTCCACAATTTTTGTACCGTCTCCCATTTGCCATTCGGAGACCCATTTCCGGAAGGATCTAAGGTGGTCAATATTATTTGTGTACTGATTAGCAGAGTTTAAAGGCTTACCAACCACGTGCCTACTCGAGGTATTGAGTAAATCAAAAATACTGTCCATTTTAATTAGAAAATCTGCAGTCGGTCTCGCGTCCTCTGACATTTTTCTATCAGTGTCCTCAGGCAGCTCAATTAAAGTTTTAATGCCCGCAGCCACCGATAAACTAAATAATTGTGTTGCTAACTTAACTTTCATTTTGGAAAGGTCAGGAATTTCAATGTGAAGTTTGCTTAATTTGGGAGCAAGTCTTTGTTCACTACTGAGATCTTTTGCATAAAAATCTAATATATGTTCCCATCTAATGTGATTCCCATCAATAAAATAACCATGTTTTTAAGATGGTTTCGAATATTTTTAATAACGTGTGGCGAATCATATGCAAAATATATTTGCCGATCGTTCCTACTAATGAATGGCTTTTCTATTGTTATTCCCAACATCCTATATAAACCTTGATTTGTAAATGATTGATCAGAAACTACAACCCTTACTTTTAAACCAATATTATTAATGCTATCTATAGTTCCTAGGAGTAAGTACCGCAGGTCTTCTGATGTTGTTGAGTCTTGACTAAAATGGTACGAAAACGGCTGAATCCAGTTTGTATTCAAACCACGAACCATAAAAACGAGCGCCTCAGATGCCGGAACTAGCTTTCTTCTGCCTGGACCGTGATCTTGAATTCCTATCAGCTTGTCCCTGTTCTTGTCGTAAAGTAAATATTTTTTAATAGCCATCTCATCAAACATCAGTACGCAGTCCCGCTCAAAATTATTCATGTCCTTGACCCGATCTCGCAGTATTTCTTCTATGCAGGGATTAATACCGGTAGAAATATCCAAGTGTCGAAGCCATAGGTTGATTGTTGAAATGGATGGAAGATTAAGCCCCAATTTTTGTAACGTTCTGCAATAAATAATACATTTTTAGTTTAAAGGCACTAGGTTAAATTTAATAAGCTCTTAATTATGAAATGTTCATTCTTATTGTTAACTTACTTGTAGCCTCGTTTAGTTGTGGAAAAATAAATTGTAATTGCAGTAACTTTCTCCTCTTGTGTGAATACTTTCCTTAGTTTTCGGGACGTCAGTCGTTGAAGATGAGATATTATCATGGGTTTTAATGAAGTTGCATTATTCATAACTTTATTCAGACTTTCCATAATCTTTTCTGGCCGAATTTTTGCCCTCGATCGACGAAGTTTCTGTTGCAGTTGGCGAATCCTCTTTTTGTTGTCCGTGGTTGAACTTGGACTGGTTTCAGGTGACGAAATGTTGGATTGAGGTCGAGGACTAGATACGGAAGATGATGGGGAGCAAGGCGAGTCGCAGCGGTCACGAATTTCCGGCTGCGACACGTCCAACGACGGCGGTGACACAGGAATTGATGCCGCTTGTTTTGGTAAAATTGGGATGAATTTGATAACTGAACGACCATCACCAGCTTGCAGAACTTTACTTGGTGTAGAAGCTTGTAATAATTGCTGCTGTGACCCAAATCTGGACGGAAGGGTGGTCGGCTTTAGTCGGATCCTCTTCGAATTATTAAATTGATCATCTTCAAAATGTGTATCGCAGATCATGGACTTTGGGGAAACATTTTGACAGTCGAGATCCAAGTAGTCACACCACGTCTTGAATCTAAACGATAGAAAATATTGCAATATAATATTCGTTATTAGCATGCCAAAATTATTTTCCATTTAATTTATAAACACGCCTGACCTGTCTGGCTGGGATGGAAATTTATAAAACTGAGCTTCCGGATTTTTATGCTTTGTTTTAGCACACCTTGGATATTTACAACCGGTTATTTTCATAGTATACTTGGTGGTGGTGATCCCCACGGGTCACTTCATTTGAAGGCTGGGACACGTAGGAGGCTGGAAAATATTAAACAAATTTATTTAATTTCTTAATTCCAAAGAACATTAGCTCAAGTAATGTTTACAGTACGTATGTATGTGTATTATATAATTTAATGTGCAAGTATGTATACTTACCATGTACTGCCGAGGGGTACACAATTTAATTGCAAATAACTTTTTTAAATAATTGATTGAAGAAATTTAAGCTGGCTAAAAATCGATCGGACTGGAACTGTATTTTTCTTTGCCACGCAAAGGAAGCCATGTGGCGGTGGTGGTAGTGAATGAATTGCATCAGCTTTTTATCATGCTGAACTTGCACACAGTTATTTGGCCGACCTGTTAAAGCCGCCCATTTGCAGGAAGAACAAAATAATATTAAGCTCCGGTGGTTGGCTGCTGAGCTCTTCCATAAGCTTCACTCAAATACATTGCATGAGTCGTTCCTCTTCCCCTAGTTTATTTCATATTCCATGGGGAAGAGCGTGATCCGGGTAGGGGGTTTTAGTATACAGTGTCCTGATGCAAGGTGCTCAGTTTAACACTGGTAGGTAGTCACTACTGCTCTGTTGCTAGTATTGACTTGGGATTGGATTTGGGATTTGATTGGATTTGCTTGGCAAGGGGGAGGGGCGAGAAAGACTTTCGTTCCACCACATGTGGGCTAAATATATCGGCTGGCATAGGCAAATTAGCAAAAATGAAGTGCAACCGTCCGGGCTCGAATCCGGAATCTCATCTGTATCGCGCAGAGCGACCTACCTTGGTCCACGATCACACTTGGTGATTGCTATTGCCTTTTAGCCTGCCGATATATCCCACCTTATGATAAATAATCTCTCACATAAAACACGGTTACTATGCTTTCTTTCTCAGATTGTAGCTGAGTTCCTCATAAGTTTGAAGCCGATAATTAACGGGCGACACGGCAATAAATTTAAGCATCAAGCTACTCTTAACGTGCCAGCCAGATTAAAATGTAGGATAATCGTGGACATCTAGCATAACTCTAGCGGAACTCGGCAATTTTTACTCTTTGCGGCCATGTACCCGTTGCTAATCAAACTATTTTTGGGTTGCTAAACTTGGCCTTGTTGCGGAGGGAGCCAACATTCAAATTGAACTAAGTCAGCATTGAGCTTACCATCCCAGAACATCCAAGTAATTTGTGAGGCAAACTGTACCCACGAAGAGGATGTAGAAGATCCACAACGACCCAGCATACAGCGTATTGAGGGCAACCCATGTCTCAAAAATGTGCACGACGAGTCCCACAACACCCAGATCCTGAGGCCATGGTTGACTTACAGTTTGGCATCATTGAGAGGATGAAGGGTGGCATGCATGGCATTACGGTTAAGATGACCGGGATGAGAAATGCCACACTGGCAATGGAGACTTCAATAAATGGGATGAACATCTTCATTATTTTTCCATCGAGGGACATCGGGGGTTGAGGGAGTCCTGAAAGTGTGAAAACAGTGTGAATATTTCCGTTCTTGAAATGTTTGCTATACATACATTTATCATCCGGTGGGCTCGAATGTTCTAAGCGAAATTTTCACTAGTAGAAAAATAAATGGTAATGTACTGGCTAATTCGAACAGGGTGGTTTAAACGTCACGCTACAATGGAAAATTTTTCTATGGGAAAAACCCTAAATCTCCATTAGTTACAAGATTTTGGATTGAGATTATTATAATTATTATCAAAACTGGTGGAACACTGATGACGAAATTCTTAAAATGTTAAATCTTAGAGACAAAATTTCGTTAACTTATGGAAATTTAC